CCCCGGGTGGGCCGGGGGCGCTCGCGCCAGCTGGGCACTGAGACAGCCTGCAGGTTGGGTCTCCATCACCCCTGAGCTCCTGGAAACGCGGACAGCCCACCCCTGGGAAACAGGGAAGGTTAGAGGGCTTATCCTGTACAACCCGTGTCACAATAAATGCTTTTGTTTTTTGGTTTTTTTTCAATCGTGGAACCGAGTCGTTACTCGATCTGAAACGTGGGCCAGATGAATGATGAACGAACGTGTGTTACTGAGCTCTAATACTGTCCGAGGTCTCTCTTTACGGTGTACACTTTAACGTCACTCATGCCTGCGATTTTGTCTTCCGCACAGTAAGGCGATCTTGGGAGAACCGGGCCTGCGGGAGGAGGTCGGTTTCTTGAATTAGTGAAAGGCCTTCCCACCAGGTGAACCGCGGGTACAAACGAGGCCGGGCAGGAGGGGCAGGTGGACAGTTGTGCAGGTCACTCAGGCGCAGGGCGGGCTTTTCTCTGGCGTTGGCCCTGGGAGTCGCCAGTGGCCGCCAGAAATGTGGCCAGTCCAGGTCCAGGTCCAGGTCTGATCTAAGAGCAAAATGTGCACTGGTTTTCTAAGGCGTAGTATGAACAGGAAAGAGCGTTCACGATTTCATTTTATATTGATTGCACGCTGAAATGAGAATGTTATGGAAAGTTTAAAATCACAGTACATTTCTATCGGATAGGGCTGCTCTACAGGGGAGGGAGATCTACTCTCAGAGCTTCTGGGTTGCCTTCTAGTACGGTCCCGCACGGCTTACATATGGGGACACATTCTGAGAAATGCACCGTTCGAGGATTTCATCATTGTGTGACCACCATAGAGCGCATGTACGCAAACCTGGGTGGAACAGCCTCCTGCACACCCAGGCTCCATGGTGTAGCTTTCAGACCCCAGGCTACAAGCCTGTACAGCAGGTGACTGTACAAAACCACACAAATTAAATCAGCCCCAAGAGGCAAGGATGCAATGCAGGCGGAGCAACAAATTGATGTCTCTCTCTCACACGCACAAATCAATCAGTGCATCAACTTTTTAAAAGCACACACGTATGGGGCTGCTGCCAGCATAAAACGGCTACAGTTTTTCAGCAAACATTTTCTGATAAGTAGAAAGAGCCCACTCTGAAATAATGGTAGAAAGTATAGTAAATACATAAACCAGTATCAGAGTTGTTGATCATTATCTAGCCCTGTGTACTGTACATAATTGTGTGTGCTGTGTTTTTATACCACTGGCAACACCACAAACACGTGGTAATGTGTTGCACTACCCCATCACTAGGCCAAAGGGAAGTTTAGCTCATAATCTTATGGGACCACTGTCTCATATTTGGTCTGTCATTGACCAGGACATCCTTATGCCGCTCCTGCCTAATCTCTCACCTTCTAGGGCAGTGATGGCGAACCTTTTGAGCTCGGCGTGTCAGCATTTTGAAAAATCCTAACTTAACTCTGGTGCCGTGTCACATATAGGAATTTTTTGATATTTGCAACCATAGTAGAACAAAGACTTCTATTTTTGATATTTATTTCATATATTTAAATGCCATTTAACAAAGAAAAATCAACCAAAAAAATGAGTTTGCGTGTCACCTCTGACACGTGTATCATAGGTTCGCCATCACTGTTCTAGGGTAAGAAGACCAAGTCTCACTTAACAGTCATGAAGGAAGGCAGCCCGTTCGCACTTCTCTGGCGGGCCTATAGGTGTACTGTGCTTCACTTAATTTTTATGAAAGGGGGGAAAAGGCCTCCAAAAGACGGTGATTTTCAGAAAGCAAGTTCTAGTTCATGGAGCCTTATAAATGTCACATGAACATGACAATACCTATTGCTAAAAGTAAAGATACCAAGCCAGCTGACAGCGCCGGCCCCGCTCGCACCTGCTGATGGTGTGGAGCAATTGGGACCAGCACCAGCAGTGGGTGCGAGCGGTGGCTGCTGCCCCGATCGCCCCTTAGGAGCCTGGGGAGGTGGAGAAGCCCTCAGGGGTGATCAGGGCCAGCAGCCGCCACTCGCACCATCTGACGGCACCAAGCAATTGGGACCGGCAGCAGGTGTGAGTACTGGGCGGGACTGCGGTGCACAGGAGCAAAGAATTTTCAGTAACCACCAGAGGCTTGCCCTGATGACAGCGACTGGCGCCCCACCTTGGTCTGGCGCCCCTGCTCACCTGCTCCACCATCCTGCCGTGGCCGACGCCCACCATGTTCCACGCTCTGCCGTCTGCTGCCAATGCCGGCCATGTTCCACGTGTGCCCCTGGTGGTCAGCGCACATCATAGCACCGGTTGTTTGGTTGTTCTGCCGTTCGCTCTATTTGTATATTAGGGTTTTATATAGAGAGATAAAAGCCTGAGCGACTGAACGACCAGTCGACCGGTTGCTATGACACGCACTGACCACCAGGGGCAGACACTCAACACAGGAGCTGCCCCCTGGTGGTCAGTGTGCTCCAACAGCTGACCAGCCAACCTCCCACGGTCCCTCCTTCCATCTGGCCGGCCAACCTGCCACGGCTTGTCACCCCAGCTGGTCAGCCCCCCCAATCGGCCCCAATCACTTAGGGATTGGGCCTGCCCTCTGCCACCCTGGAGCAGGCCTAAGCCAGCAGGTCGTTATCTCCCGAGGGGTCCCAGACTGCGAGAGGGCACAGGCCGGGCTGGGGGACCCCCCTCCCCCGCCCCCCGAGTGCACAAATTTTTGTGCACCGGGCCTCTAGTAATAATAATAAAAGAAACATGTAGAACATTACAATTTTTGTTGAAAATGCTTAAAATAAATTCTGTTTTTTATCATTTAATCTCTAAATAGATTATATCTTTTTAGATTTCCAATGACCCAGTAAGGTGAGGTTTCAGGGAAGATTTGTTTCCTGTCTTTTTGTACTTGCTTTATATTTATTTTCACTCATTTATTTAACAAAAGCAGCAAGGGGCCAGGAGTATTGCTAGACAGTGTTGAAATAAAGGTGAACTACACAGACATGGATGGCCCTTGCTCAGAGCTAATGAGTATCAACTCGGAGACAGTGAAAAAGTAGATAATGACCAAGGCATAGTATATTTTCCCTTTGATTAAGTGCTGTGCCCCTGTAAATTCAACACGTTAATTGTTTTAAACCTAGAATTTATATATTCCTGCCGACATGTTAAGAAAGAGTCATTAGGATTTGGCTCTGGGCTTAAAAAACATTAGTAAAAAAATCAAAGTCTATTTAATGCATGCATTAATTATGAAAACCTAAAGAATAAAATCTTTAAATTGGAATATTTCTGTACCTTTGTGAAAAAGATGAAAAAATTATAATAGCATCTTACTTATAATAGCCCTTCAGCGACTTTTAGGCTCTTAGGAATTTAATAATAGATCTGTAAAGGAGACATTGATTTATGCCCCTAACATCATTTAAAATTGCTGACTTTAAAAAGTTATTTTAGCATATTATATAGTTCTTTTTTTTAAAAAAAATATATTTGTATTGACTTCAGAGAGGAAGGGAGAGGGAGAGAGAGATAGAAACATCAATGATGAGAGAGAATCATTGATTGGCTGCCTCCTGCATGCCCCACACTGGGGATTGAGCCCGAAACCCTGGGCATGTGCCCTGACCAGGAATCAAACCTTAACCTCCTGGTTCATAGGTCGACACTCAACCACTGCAACACCGGCCGGGCAGCATATTCCATAGTTCTTAAATCAATGAGTGAATCAGGACAAAAGGAAAGGATTCTAAGAGTTCACAGCAGGTGAGATTGACCCCGATTAGAGGTAGGGGAAGGCGTGCCAGGAGGGTGCCTGAAAGGTGTCCAATCTGACTGCTGAAGGCTGGGCAGGATTAGATATTTGGCTGTTAGAGGACAACTATTCCAGCTGAGCAAAAAGGGTGGGGAAGCATGAAACAGGTGAGGAGATGCCTCCTCGCAGGGGCTGGAGCTGGGGCGGGATGAGGAATCGTGGAAGATAACACTGGAAAAGTAGTTTGGAGCCTGGTTTTATCAGTATAGGATGTAAAAAAAAATCAGGAATATTTGTTTTAGTAAAAAATTGATTCTTGAGTTTTTTTGACTAATCATTTAAATCAACTACATCTTAGTTTAAACTCTACAATGGAACTGTTATAGAGATAATATTCTGGTGAACTTGAAACATGGGGCCTGATTGTATGGATTGTATGAAAATCAGAAATTTAGTTCCAGTGAAGTTCAAAAGAAAAATAGGCTCACAGAACACTTTGTGTGGCTCAGTTTCTTTTTAAAAAAAAGATATTTTTATTGATTTCAGAGAGGAAGGGAGAGAGAGAGATAGAAACATAATGATGAGAGAGAACCATTGATTGGCTGCCTCCTGCATGCCCCACACTGGGGATTGAGCCAGCAACCTGGGCATGTGCCCTTGACTGGAATCAAACCTGGGACCCTTCAGTCCACAGACCAACACTCTATCCACTGAGCCAAACCAGGCAGGGCATGGCTTAGTTTCTTAACACATTCAAAATGTGTTCAAGACTGTCACATCTCAGTGGGAAGCTGGGGGTGGTTGGATGGGTGGGAAGAAATCTCCCCAAAACTTGTATGCAAATATGCATAACTCATGGACACAGACAATAGGGTGCTGAAGGCCTAGGGTGGGGGTGGGAATAGGCTAGAAGAGGTCAATGGGGGAAAAATGGGGTCATAGATAATGCTTTCCACAATAAAAATTTTAAAAAAAATGTGTTCAGTTTATATTTAATTTCAGTAAAAGTACATGAATATCAAAATTTGCAGGCCTTTCTATTTCCTTCTAAAAACAACACTAGTAATGATTACATTCAA